ATTGAGATGAGCTCGAGGTTGGTCGGAGATGGAGATGAGCTCGTGGTTGGTCGGAGATGGAGATGAGCTCGAGGTTGGTCGGAGATGGAGATGAGATCGAGGTTGGTCGAAGATGGAAGATGAGATCGAGGTTGGTTGAAGATGGAAGATGAGATCTGAGTCAAATGAGTTGCGGCTGCTCTATTAGGGTTAAGTTTATTTGTAAATACTAAATGATGTTAAGGGCAAAACGTAAATTACCTTTCTGGCCGCATCATATACGTTGCAGTCGCTAGATTTTTCGGCGGCAAACGCAGGAAGTGGCGTTAACCGCGGCGGCTAGACGCAGATGATGGCGTCAATCAAACGAACAAAAAATTTGAAAAATGTTGTCGCTGCCGCATCCGCAGGTAGCTGCGGTTACCAAACGAACAGCCCTTAGAGCAATATTATAGGCAGTCTCTTAAGAGAGGCCCTTAAGATAAAAACACGGAGACCGAGAGATAAAAGGAGGAAAAACCCGTTATATAAGGGCTATTCCTTAAAAAAAAAGACGAAAAAAAAGAACTTAAGGCACTTTTTCTAGTCCCACTGATAATCTTGCTCTTATGTCGAAAATCAGTGATAGGTTATGATAGTGCTCAAAAACAAATAATAATAAATGGAGAAATGATTCAACAACAACAAGAAAGAAGACATAAAATCAGTGTCTAAACGCAACTAATTTGATTTTGAAATTGTTAGTGAAACATAAGACATGATTTCGTTTTCGTATGAATAGACAATTAGTTTCTGTAGGATTTATACAAAATGAAAAAAAAAATTACGTTCGTTTAAATTTTTTCTTTTATCACCATGCTATTACTATTGACTTCTGTCATTTATCTCTTTTCTCCTGCCTTTTCTTTCTTTATCAAAAGTATAGTATTCAATCTTCTCTGCTCCTTTTCTTCTCTATCAATTTTATATTATATTTATGATTGTTGATTGACCTCTTTGTTCTGTTTCAAAGGAAAATAATTGTACGTTAAATATGGGGCATACTCTCACAAAATAATCCAAATTTATATGTACGACTTTTAAAATCTTGTCGTTTTGGAGACCTCGTATCAATTATAAGGTATGAGTAATTATAGCAAAATCAATTATAACTGAGACTGTAGTGAACTCCTGTTTAATTTTGTAGTTTTGGTATAAGTATAGCCGTTAGCCGGTTTACATGATAACAAAAGCCCCAAGACATATAATTAGCTTCTACTAATCTATGTTTTAAGTGGTTTTTGTTGCGCATTTGTTAAACGAAAAGCTAAGGGGAGGGTTTATTGGATCAAAGATTTGAGAGGATTTCATTTTATTTTATCTTGCATTTATAATTTCTATAAGAAATGCAAACTTATTAGATTAGTTTTGGAAAGTATGAATTTTGTCAATAACCCACTAAATAGAATTTTGGTGGGGTCTAAATGATATTTTATAGTTAAAAACTACGAATCGAAATATCATCTCATGTGATGTTATTTGGATTTTTTTTAAACTTTGAAATGAAAAAATATATTTTTAATCATTTTCTTAAATTTTTTATATATTTTCTAATACAATGGTAAATCAAATTATAGTAATTTAAAAAAAAATATTTTTTAAAAATTGTTTTTTTTCAAAAATTCTGAAATTTCTTCAAAACCCATAAAATTTATTCAAATCTCAGATTTTTTTGGGTCAACTCAAATTCTTGAATTTTCTCAAATCCTTGATTCAATAAATCCCCTTAATTTTCGTCAAGTATAGACATTCAAAAAATATACATTGTTTAATGAGCCATTCATAAAACTTGTTCGAACGTTAGTTATATGATTTGTATGTTATTATAGCTAGAAGCCTAGAAAATACATGAGTATTTGTTCGAGTAAGAAAAAGAATCACTAAAGATTGCAACTAACGATGATACATTAAGCCACCTTGTAGACAATAGGTGTACGTGCACCCGCAATAATATTTATTTTTCAATTTTTGTAAGGTAAATTAATGATAGTTTGGTAGCTCAGATGGTAAAATTAAGATTATGCACCCCTAAGTCTACTTTTCTTTTTTGATTAATAGTGCACCCACAACACAAAATTCCTAGCTTTCACCCCTGATTACATATATATGGTGATATCAAACTCTATATAATCCTAATCTTGTGTACCCAAAAAAACATCTTCTGTACCAACAACGACTAATTAAAGTTAAGAAACCAAATTTCTTAAATTAATAATATGTCAAATCTAGTTGTGTGATATCCACTATAACTGAATATATAGTACAATGCATAAATGATGCAGAAAATGATAGATATAACGATCAAAGTGGTTCGAAGATAACTTATGTATCTGCATTAATCTTGACATAACATTCTATACTAGTTTACTATATATGTGGAAGCCATCCAACATATACAAGTTATTTAGATGCAGCGGTCAGTCGAATGTTATCACTAGATGCATCATATACATGTGAAGAATAACATTCATTATTAGATGCATCATGCACAGCTCATATGTTATATTTTGGGTTCAATCAACTTTCTATATACCACCACGTAAACAACATATGGTAAATTTGTTATGTGTTTCATCTGCTAGATAGACACCATCACAGTTGACGGAGATAAACGATCACCATTTCAATAAACGACCATCACTATATATTTTCATGAGCAGATTTGATCATATATCTATGTGTTTTATAAATTGGCGACAAGTTTTGTAGAAAGATGATCAAGAAACTATAGAGAAAGTTATGAGAAACCACCATTTAACTCTCGATTACATTTCATTGGATTTAGACACTTGAACGAATTGAAACCAAACAAAGGAAAAAAAATGAGTACGATTTGAATTAGGTTTAGAATAAACGAAGATGCGAGTTTAGATTCGAGTAAATGTAAATGTCCTTTAGATTTGACCACTCCAGGGGCTCCCACGCGCCACGGGCCCAGAGGCCACGTGCGCGCACTAGAGAAGAATAAAGCATAGCCCACGTGATACTGGGCCAAAACTCTTTGGATCTTTCTCCTTCAGACCTTCACAATACGACAAAACAAATTGTTTCGTTTAATTAACAAATAATAAAACTTTTGGGGTGATTTCTGTAGTTACGACATAAAAACTTCAACACCAAAAAAATAACAATGAAAAAAGCAAAAGCTCAATCAGGAAGAGACAAGACACTGACTCTCCTTCTCTCTCAGACACACATCGCCTCTCTCTTCTGCTTCATTTAATTGGTTTCCGTAACCTAATTTCCACCTTTTTATAATTTAATTCTCTCACTATCTCCGATCCCAACTTCCCACCTCCTTCTTCTTCCCCCTCACTTTTTCTCGGGAAAATCTTACATTATTTTCTCGAGAAAATTTTAAAATTATTTTTTTTCACGGTTTCAATTTTCTACAGAATTTCGAGAATAATTCTCCCAAAGTTTCTCTCTTTTCAATAGAATCTGACGTAATCTCGATAAATTCCCCACCTTTTTCTTCAATGAAGCTGAGAAAATCATCATTCCATAGCCGCCCCAGATGAAAAAGTTAACTCCTTTCGGTTCGATGTGGACCTCCACGTTTTCAAATACCCATCTCTCAACTTAACTCCAAACAATTCCCCCCAAAAAAAAACATGGTTTCTGGTGTCGGCGGCGCCGGAGCAAGCGGCGGCGGCCGTGGTCGTGGCCGTGGAGACACAGCTTCCTCAAGCCACCACACTCTCCACGCACAATCCTCAGGAACCAAATCTCTCAAACCCCAAAGCCACACGGAGTCAATGAGCAAAGCCATACAACAATACACAGTCGACGCGAGGCTCCACGCCGTCTTCGAACAATCCGGCGAGTCTGGCAAATCCTTCGACTACTCACACTCCCTCAAAACGACGACGTACTGCTCCTCCGTCCCCGAGCACCAGATCACCGCCTACCTCTCCAGGATCCAGCGCGGAGGCTACATCCAGCCTTTCGGTTGCATGATCGCCGTCGACGAGGGCACTTTCACCATCATTGCCTACAGTGAGAACGCGAGGGAGATGTTAGGACTCACTCCACAGTCTGTTCCTAGCCTCGAGAGGCCAGAGATTCTCGCTATGGGAGTAGACGTTCGCTCTCTCTTTACACCCTCAAGCTCTGTTCTCTTGGAGCGTGCCTTCGTGGCGCGTGAGATCACTCTCTTAAACCCGGTTTGGATACACTCCAAGAACACTGGTAAGCCCTTTTATGCTATTCTCCATAGGATCGACGTTGGAGTTGTTATCGATTTGGAGCCCGCTAGAACCGAAGATCCAGCTCTCTCTATAGCTGGAGCTGTGCAGTCTCAGAAGCTCGCAGTTCGAGCTATCTCTCAGTTACAGTCTCTCCCCGGAGGAGACATCAAGCTTCTCTGCGACACTGTAGTTGAAAGCGTTAGGGACTTAACCGGCTACGACCGTGTGATGGTCTACAAGTTTCACGAAGACGAGCATGGAGAGGTTGTTGCTGAGAGTAGGAGAGAGGATTTAGAGCCTTACATTGGTTTACATTATCCCGCTACTGATATTCCACAAGCGTCACGGTTCTTGTTTAAGCAGAACCGTGTCCGGATGATTGTTGATTGTCACGCTACGCCTGTTCTTGTGGTGCAAGACGATAGGTTGACTCAGTCTATGTGTTTGGTTGGTTCCACTCTTAGAGCTCCTCATGGTTGTCACTCTCAGTATATGGCTAACATGGGGTCTATCGCGTCTTTAGCGATGGCGGTTATAATAAACGGTAATGAAGAAGATGGGAGTGGGAGTGGGAGAAGCTCTATGAGGCTTTGGGGTTTAGTTGTTTGTCACCACACTTCTTCTCGCTGTATACCGTTTCCTTTAAGGTACGCTTGCGAGTTTCTGATGCAGGCGTTTGGTTTGCAGCTGAACATGGAGCTGCAGTTAGCTTTGCAGATGTCTGAGAAGCGTGTTTTGAGAACGCAGACGCTGTTGTGCGACATGCTTCTGCGTGACTCCCCTGCGGGGATCGTCACGCAGAGTCCTAGTATCATGGACTTGGTGAAGTGTGACGGTGCTGCGTTTCTTTACCATGGGAAGTATTATCCATTAGGTGTTGCTCCGAGTGAGGCTCAGATAAAAGATGTTGTTGAGTGGCTGCTCGCGAGCCATGCTGATTCGACTGGTTTGAGCACTGATAGTTTAGGCGACGCGGGGTATCCAGGTGCAGCTGCGTTAGGCGATGCAGTGTGCGGTATGGCGGTTGCGTGTATCACTAAAAAGGATTTTTTGTTCTGGTTCCGTTCTCATACAGCTAAAGAGGTTAAGTGGGGAGGCGCTAAGCATCATCCAGAGGATAAAGATGATGGGCAAAGGATGCATCCTCGTTCTTCTTTCATTGCTTTTCTTGAAGTTGTTAAGAGTAGGAGTCAGCCGTGGGAGACTGTGGAGATGGATGCGATTCATTCGCTGCAGCTGATTTTAAGAGACTCTTTTAAAGAAGCTGAGGCAGCAGCTATGAACTCTAAAGGTGCGGTTCAGGCTTGTGGAGGAGAGCAGGGGATTGATGAGTTAGGTGCTGTTGCAAGAGAGATGGTTAGACTTATTGAGACAGCAACTGTGCCGATATTTGCTGTTGACTCTGGAGGATGTGTAAATGGATGGAACGCTAAGGTTGCGGAGTTGACTGGTCTCTCTGTTGATGAGGCTATGGGGAAGTCTTTGGTTTCTGATCTAATATACAAAGAGAATGAAGAAACTGTTGATAAGCTCATTTCTCGTGCGTTGAGAGGTACTCCACTCCTCTGTTTCATTTTAAGTGTCTTTGTAGACTTTAAATTTTATTTTAAGTGTACTTTTATAGATTTTTTTCACTTTTATTAGAAAATTTAATGAGTGAAGAAACCTTAAAAGTGAAACAGAGGAAGTATATTCAGTTCTCTCTAACTATGTTGCAGTATTTATTTGCTTGTTGGGTTGAGTTTTGCAGGAGATGAGGACAAGAATGTGGAGGTGAAACTGAAAACTTTCAGCCCTGAGCTACAAGGGAAAGCGGTTTTTCTAGTTGTGAACGCATGTTCTAGCAAGGACTACTTGAACAACATTGTCGGCGTGTGTTTCGTTGGACAAGATGTTACTGGTCAGAAAATCGTTATGGACAAGTTCATCAACATACAAGGAGACTACAAAGCCATTGTCCATAGTCCAAACCCTTTGATTCCGCCAATCTTTGCAGCAGACGAGAACACATGCTGTCTTGAGTGGAACACTGCGATGGAAATGCTCACTGGTTGGTCTCGTGGAGAAGTGATTGGTAAAATGCTTGTTGGTGAAGTGTTTGGGAGCTGTTGCAGGCTTAAAGGTCCTGATGCTTTGACAAAGTTCATGATTGTATTGCATAATGCCATCGGTGGGCAAGAGACAGAGAAGTTCGCTTTGCCTTTCTTTGACCGGAATGGGAAGTTTGTCCAGGCTCTATTGACTGCTAACAAGAGGGTTAGCCTCGAGGGGAAGGTCATTGGAGCTTTCTGTTTCTTGCAGATTCCTAGTCTTGAGCTGCAGCAAGCTTTAGCAGTCCAGAGAAGGCAGGACACAGAGTGTTTCACAAAGGCCAAAGAGCTCGCTTACATTTGTCAGGTGATAAAGAGTCCTTTGAGTGGTTTGCGTTTCACAAACTCGTTGATGGAAGGTACAGAGTTGAACGAGAATCAGAAACAGTTTCTTGAAACCAGTGTTTCTTGCGAGAAGCAGATCTCTAGGATTGTTAGTGATATGGATCTTGAAAGACTTGAAAACGGGTGAGTTTCATTGGGACTCTCTACAAAATGGTTTTTGATTACTTGAATCTAAACCTTGTTTTCTCATTTGATCAGTTCGTTTGAGCTAGATAGAGAGGAGTTTTACCTCGGAAGTGTCATCAATGCTATTGTAAGCCAAGCGATGTTCTTGTTAAGGGAGAGAGGTCTTCAGCTGATCCGTGACATTCCTGAAGAGATCAAATCAGTAGCTGTTTATGGAGACCAGACAAGGACTCAACAGCTTTTAGCTGAGTTTCTTCTGAGTATAATCCAGTATGCACCGTCCCAAGAGTGGGTAGAGATCCATCTAAGCCAAGTTTCAAAGCAAATGGCTGATGGTTCCTCTACTATCCGCACAGAATTTAGGTACATTTCCTTTTTTCACTGTTCTTGTCTCTTCATAGAATGGTTTGGTTAAGCCAGATTTGGAACTTCTACAGAACCCTAACTAGCAGACACTGATGGTAATGTTTTCATATTAAAAACAATGCTTTGGTTTCTGTGATATGTTTAAATTTTGTTGTTTCAGAATGGCGTGCCCTGGTGAAGGTCTACCACCAGAGCTTGTCCGAGACATGTTTCATAGCAGCAGGTGGACAAGCCCTGAAGGGTTAGGTCTAAGCGTGTGTAGAAAGATTCTAAAGCTAATGAACGGTGAGGTCCAATACATCAGAGAGTCAGAACGCTCGTATTTCCTCATCATTCTTGAACTCCCTGTTCCTCCTTTGTCAATCGGTAGCGGCGACATGATGTTGATGATGACATAGTAGTCACACTTACATTGTTGAGAGAGTTTGTATCATTGTTGCATGTGTATGTGTTTGTGAGTCTAACGACACTGAAGGAGGATAGAGAGTCTTTTTGTTTCCTGTGAGATTAGTAGAGAAGAGGAGAGATTGTTTGCCTTTTGACTTGCTGGAAAAGAAAACATAACATGTAGTTATAGAGTCTGCAACTGCAAGGCTTGTTTTCTCTTTTGTTTGCACTTTTGTATATTTGATAACTTTGAGAGGCAAACATATGAAAAAGAAGAAGAGAGGTATTTGATTGACCAATCCTTTATAATTGTAACTACTCTACAACAAGTTACGTCAACTTTGTTCTCAGGAGACATGATTCATGATACAGCAAGTCATGTAAGGGTTGCATAAGGGTGATATATTCTAATTATTATACTAGAGTACTCTAGGTGTGATTCTAAACATTAAAACCTTTTTTTTGAGCAACAAAAACATTAAAAACCTAAAAATTAGTAAAAGTGAATGAGAGAGGAAACGGGATGATTGCATTTAAGGTTACGAATGGTAACGTACGAGACAACTGCTTACATTTAGGTTTTGAATGGTAACATGCAGGACAGTTGCGGTCGGTGCAGTTTAAATAATAACAAAAACGTATAGATACATAAATATATGTAGAAATTTTTGTTACTATTCACAACCGTGCAGGACAAAGTGGTTGGTTACCATTCGAAACCTATGAATGTGAGAAAGTGTTTCACTTAAAACTTTGGTAGTAAAAAACCACACTTCAAACCATTAGAAATATATAGTAAACATGAATGAGAAAAAAAAATAAAGAATCTCATTTCCATTAAAAATAGTAAACATGAATGAGAAAAAAATGAAGAATCTCATTTTGCTATGAATGGGAGAAAGTGCATCACTTTAAACTTTGGTGGTAAAAACTCACACTTCAAACCATCAATAACTCACACCTTCGAACATTAGTTATGTTAGCATAGTTAGTTTGAAGTGTGAGTTATTGACCACAGAGGTTTAAAATGTTATTTTCTCTCAATTTTTATAGTTAAAATGTGATTTTTTCGATAGAGAAATGAGTATTAAATGAAAATTTGCAAATTTTCGAGAAAACTCTGAAGACACATGGCATTGTACTAATGCTTTATGTATTTTGTATGATTATAATTTTAATTATTTATATTAGTGAAAGACCCATGCAAGTTTTTCACCACTAAATGAAGCATCTTCAATTTATTGTTCTAAATTTTAACATTAAAATAAGTACCTCCATAATTGGGTAGAGTTTTGTTCTAACCTACTCTATTTAAAGGTGAAAAAGTTGAATAATGGATAAATAAATAAATTGATTATTCTATTTTTGGAAAATCTTATGTTTTACTCTACTATAGAATTAGAATTGGAATGAGATTGAAGTAAATTTCACTCCAAATTCTATTTTAATGTAAGAAATAGAGTAGAACTGGAAATACTCTTTAGCTAATTAGTAGATGGATTAATAATGAAAATGACAGTAGGGATTTTGCAGTTAATGTGGCTACCAAATCAAAAGTAGTTGAGAAGCTCTAAATGTCAACAAAGATAGTGCGATATTATTTGAACTAAATTACACGTCCCCACCTTTCCCCGCTGTATTCGGCATTGTTTTATTTCGAACAAGTAGGTTGTTTTGAATTTCCTCTCCACGTTAGCTTTAGGTTTTATGATGTATACATTATTGAAATGTAAACTAGAAGAACATGGAATTTAATAAAGGATGACAGGTTATGACTTATGATAGGAAGAGGGGACTAATATAAAAAGAAGCACTTGGGTATCGCTCATTAATTGCTTCGTAGAAAAAACTTGAACATTAGAACATGCGGAGAAACGCGGTATAGGAAAGAAGACGTTGAAGGCTCTCTCAACCATATCTCATAAATGCACTATCTACTTACTATATAGTATTTTCTATAGTATATATACTGTTAGTAGCTAGTCAAGTGAGCTATCACATTTGTACACTGATCATTAAACAAGATATTAGAACTATATATCAAAAACTACATGGGGAAAGTATCTTTTTGGTCGTTGAGTTTGATGCTTGTAGTGGTGGTGATAGGGGTAGTGGAGTGTAGGAGACTTGAGAAGGAGACGTTAGGAGGTGGTGGTGGTGGAGTTGGCGGTGGTTTTGGTGGCGGCAAAGGCTTTGGTGGAGGAATTGGTGGTGGTGGAGGTGCCGGTGGTGGTATAGGAGGAGGCCATGGTGGCGGTCTAGGAGGTGGCATTGGTGGAGGTCACGGTGGAGGTATTGGTGGTGGTGTTGGTGGAGGTATTGGTGGGGGTGCTGGTGGAGGACTTGGAGGAGGCCACGGTGGAGGGCTCGGAGGAGGCCACGGTGGAGGTATTGGTGGTGGTGCTGGTGGTGGTCTAGGAGGTGGTGCTGGTGGTGGTGTTGGCGGAGGGCTCGGAGGAGGGCACGGTGGAGGTATTGGTGGTGGTGCTGGTGGTGGTCTAGGAGGTGGTGCTGGTGGAGGAATTGGAGGAGGTCACGGTGGAGGTATTGGTGGTGGTGTCGGAGGAGGTGCTGGTGGAGGAATCGGAGGAGGGCACGGTGGGGGTATTGGTGGTGGTCTAGGAGGAGGCCACGGTGGAGGTATTGGTGGTGGTGCCGGAGGAGGTGTTGGTGGTGGTGGAGGATTAGGCGGTGGTGCTGGTGGAGGTGCCGGAGGAGGATTTGGTGGTGGTGCTGGTGGAGGAGCTGGCGGAGGATTTGGTGGTGGTGCTGGCGGGGGTCACGGTGGAGGTGTTGGTGGAGGGTTTGGTGGAGGATCAGGCGGAGGATTTGGTGGTGGTGGTGGTGCTGGAGGAGGAGCTGGTGGTGGTGGTGGTGCCGGTGGAGGATTTGGCGGTGGATTTTAAAATTTTAGTAAGTAATATTCATATCTATTCTTGGTTTGAACTAAGCTAGGGCTAGTTACTTATGTACCAAGTCATATGAGAAGAAAATATGTCATATTTCCTTTCTGATTTACTTTGTAAGAGTAACCAAACTTAAAATACTCAAAACCATTTTCCAGTATTCACAAAAATAATTGTAGGTTTGTTAAACCTATTAATCAGTCGGAGAATTTTTAATTGGAAGATGTGATTTATAACTTAGGACGTTACATATGTTATTAAAATGGAAACTCTTATACAATGCGTGCACACATGAGAGTTTTCCAATAACTCCAAATCATTTAGAGTAGAACACACACACAAAAAAAAAAAAAAAAAAAAGTGAGAAAACTATTTCGTATAATATACCCCGTCAAAGAAAAGATTGGGTTCTTCTTTCTTCATATGTTTTTTCCAAGCCAAACGGGAGACAGGCACAGATGAAGGAACTCTAGGAATGTTGCACAAGCCAAACAGGGAGCCAAGAAGATCCATCAATAAAATCAATGGACAAGAAAGGCTCAACTTCTTGTTTCGTAAGTTCTTTAGCCCAATCTGATCTACCTTGTCTCTCAGCACCTGGTCCATGACACTTATACTCCGCATGGTATAAATCCCTGTCTCAAGAGTATTAGTATAAACATGAAAAAATAAACATGAATACTAATTAGGTGTTAAACAATAGTTAGAGACTAACTTGGTCGAACCGTCGTAGCTCCAGTTGGTCCAACCGCTAGGAACAACGGTCTTGGACAAGTAAGTCTTGGCAAAGATGACTCGAGAATAAGGTCCTTTGGCTCGGCCTAAGTAAACCTCATCGATTCCGTACACTTTGCCTCTTATGAACACATAACCTGTGTGTTCCTCTGTGTGTTCCCTGTGATGTGCTGTGATTGACCCATACGGTTTCACCCTCTTGTCCGATATCACAAATATCTCACAATTCTGTAACAATTCTATAAAATGTCAAAAAATGTAGTATTATTGGCAGTCTATATTTTATGTTTTAGAGAATGTGAAAAACGTACGTTGAAAATGGAAGTTGCACGACCGAAGATGAAGTCGATGGAGCCTTGGATGTAACACTCATGGTAGTAATGTCTACCTTTGTTATCAAACAAAGTGTTATGCAAGCTGTAGAACGCACAATGGTAAAACGCTACTTTATCAGCAGCCACAAACGCTGCCACCGATTGGTTGTCAGACGTGAACGCCAATCCCACCGGTGCATCATTCTGTATGTTCATCACACAAATTCATTAAGACACCAATGTCATGCACGTTAAAATAATAATAAATTAAAATAATCGAAATCTACAATTGTGTAAATTAACATACCCTGATGCTGATACCAAAAGCAACGAAGTGATTAGCTTCGACTTTGAAAGTGGCTGAAGCAACATTATCGACCGAACTTTGCGATGATTCGATGATCGTCTTTCCTTTTCCGTTACCTCTCATGAATATGAACGGCTTGTTCTCCGGAATGTGCACTCTCTCCCTTTTTACGCCAAAAACGTAAGAGTCATCAAAAACTTTTAAAATCAGAAGTGGCATATATGTTGTTTACGTAAATTCATAGTAGTGAAAATTAGTAACATATGAATGTCATGTAACATGATTTGCGCGTATGAAATGGTGTAAAAGGTTGAACCTAGTTAAAGTAAACGTACTTGTATATTCCTTTACGGACATGGACGATGATCCAATTAGAGTTACCAACAGGGACAGCATCAATGGCTTTTTGAACCGAAGTGTAGTCTCCTTTGCCTTCAATATCGACAATTATTGATCTATTTGTTGCGATTTTTTCAGTCAGAAGCGGCGCGCCGAACTTCGTCTGTTGCAAGGCCGATGCGTCCGAACCCCTAACGGACATTACAACCAGAGCTAGGACAAGGATCATTCCTGTTCGATGACCCATCTTTTTCTTTTGGGGTTTCTAGTTTTCTTTTTGGAGAGATGTGAAAACCATGTTATATATGGTGAAGGAAGAGGTTAGATTTAGGATAACAGGTTTTTAAATTTAGGGTGATTCGTTGTGTTTGTTTGTTTTGTTTTGGGAGGTAAGGGATTTTGGAGGAAGATATGGTTTTTTTTCTAGGCATTTTTATTTATTTTTAGACAGTTATTCTTGATTTATAGATGAAAAATGCTTTGGGTGATATTTCTATCTTTGGTAACAAAAAAATATGATTGTGGTATAAATCTTTCATTGTCCATTAAAAATATATCAAGATACTGATCTACATGTATACATTTTTTTGTTAGTAATCTACATATTACGATTGAGTATTGACTAATTTCGTTAATTTTATTTTCTTGTTATTTATATATCACTTTTCTTATGTTCTTCTCTTTATATTGCCATATTTTTATAAATTAGGATATATCCCCTTCACATAATATTATGTCTCATGAATTGATATTATGAGTTATGCAGATGTGTAGACAGACAGACATGCATGCAATGCTATGATCACCAATATTATTTTGGCTAGAGTTATTCTTTTATTTTTATTCACCCCCTATGGTGAACCTGGTTCACCAACCAATATGATGTGTTATTTTATATTTGATATCTTTTAAAAAGGAAATAAAATATTGTTAAACTATATTATGTTTTTAAAATAAAAATACAAAAAAGAAATAAAAAAAAATAAGAATCTTAAAAAAACGAAAAACACTAAAACACTAAACCCTAAACCCTTGGGTAAATCATAAACCCTTTGGAAAAATTTTAACCCTTGGATAAATTAATACTAACCAATTATACTGTTTTTATTTATTTTTATCTTTTAATTATAAACACATGTTTTTATTTTAAAGATATATTAAAAGATTTTTTGTTTTAAATTGTTTTTTTTCAATTATTACTGTTTTTATTTTATTTTTAACTTTTATTTTAAAACATAATATAATGTTAAAATATATTTTTAAGGAATTTTTTTTCGTTTTTTGTAAATATTATTATTCTTATTTATCTTTTTCTATTTTTATTTTAAAAACATAATATAACTTGACAAGATTTTTTTTCTTTTTTTTAAATATCAAAATAACACCTCCTATTGGTTGAGGTTCACCCTAGAGGGTGAACTTAGAGGTTTATCCTAGGGGTTGAACCCAAGAATAAATCTTTTGGCTATACAGATTGTAGTCTAGGTGCTAATTAAGTGGTAAATATGAATTTAATTAGCTAATACCTACAAGTACTTCGCTTAGGGCCATGAAAAACTCAAAACACGACCAAGTCCACCAATATCTTCATATCTATTATATGCCATACAAAAAGAATTGTATCCGTCAAACGTAATTAGTTTTTCTCAGTATAAGACTTTTATCTCTATAAATGAAATGAAAAAAAAAAGAGAGTAGACTTCTATCGGATATTTTATAGGTGTACTTTAGTACATATGAAAAGCCAAGAAATGATAATTTTTAGTAGAATTCAGCGACTCTCTCCATAGAGAGAGAATACAACGCGAAGCATGATTCGTGCCTTGTTCTCCATAAGTTACGATATAGAATTTCAATGTGGGTCAACAAAGAATGGAGGCATGAACTCGCCAGTGTTTGTCTAACAGATGTATGAATCTTCAAAAGCTACTATGATTTGCTGAGCTGTTGCAGCTCCTTTCCTGGACATAGGCAACTTCCAACATCTTGATTAAGACACATACGGATGGTTTTGGGGAACACTAGGCTCCGCGTGGGAAATATATCAGTTGTGAAGGTTCATAATAAATAGAAAAAAAGACTTATCTTAAAGCTAAATTAAACATATCACAGCTAACATCTTGTTTTCATAAAGTACTTATATAGAATTAGTAAACGTGTATATAGAAATAGAAAAATAATGCAAGCAGCCGGATGGTCTCCATCTCCAATCTATAAAAAAAAACACATATTTTATTTTCAAAACCCATACGAATACGTTCCTAGTTAAATTAATTAATTTACTAATAGCTGTATGAAATTCTTTATTTACCATTTTCAAAAAAAAAAAGTTGTATCTAAATAAAACATGCTATAGTGTTTTGTTTTCTTGGACCAACAAAGGTTTAAAAAATGGTCGGACAGCTAAAGGAAGATCGCTCTCCTCATCAGACCAAAAATTACAAGGGAGAGACTCTCTTTATTCCTCAGACACAACCGTCTCAATCCTCTACTAACCTACGCCTAAAACACCTTATCCTACGCCTAAAATCTTATCCTACGCTTCTTCCCTTCCATTAAAACCTAAGGTCTTCTCTCCCCCACCGTTATCTTCCCGATCTAAAATACCCATCTCATTCCTCCCTCAAATCCCGCTCCTTTTTTCAAATCGGAACCCTAAAGGAGCAACCTTTATTAGGGGTTTAAGGGTTGTGTTCTCCGAGAAATGTTGAATGTCAGGTTCGTTAATGAATCTGTTGTCTCTCTGTTTCAAGCCATTCGGCAACTTTCGCGATAACTCCTCCGACTCCGCCGGATCGAGCGGCGGCGCCGAAGGCAAAGACGGTCTCCTCTGGTTCCGTGATCTCGGTAAATACCGCGGCGGAGAATTCTCCATGGCCGTGATCCAAGCCAATCAGGTCTTAGAGGATCAGAGCCAGATCGAGTCAGGACATTTCGGGACTTTCGTCGGTGTTTATGACGGTCACGGCGGTCCTGAAGCTGCCCGTTATGTCTGTGATCATCTCTTCAACCACTTTCGAGGTTCGGTTCTAAATTCTAATCCTTTTATTCTGATTGGTTGGTCAACAAAAGTTTGGAGCTTTGACTTTTAAATTCTCTTTTGGAGACTGTTTATTAGCTTCCCATTGCTTAGGGTTTTATGGTTTTGATGCAGAGATATCAGAGGAGACGCAAGGAGTTGTGACAAGAGATACGATAGAGAGAGCGTTTTGTGCCACGGAGGAAGGGTTTGGTTCGCTTGTCTCTGAGGTGTGGAGTAGGATGCCTAATTTAGCAACCGTTGGGACTTGTTGTTTGGTTGGTGTGATTTATCAGAGTACTCTTTTTGTGGCGAGTTTGGGGGATTCAAGGGTTGTTTTAGGGAAGAAAGGGAACTTTGGTGGTGGGGTTTCTGCTGTTCAGCTTTCGAGTGAGCATAATGCTAATAATGAGGATATTCGTTGGGAGCTTAAGGATTTGCATCCTGATGATCCGCAGATTGTTGTGTTTAAGCATGGTGTTTGGAGGGTTAAGGGTATTATTCAGGTAAGTTTCTCATTTTTCTCTATTAGAGATTATAATTCTAGTGTTAGTTTGTTTCTGAGGGGAATGAACAATGTATTTTGAAATTTGGTTTATAGGTTTCGAGATCTATTGGAGATATGTATATGAAAAGGCAAGAGTTTAACAGGGAGCCTATTAATCAGAAGTTTAGAATTGCAGAGCCAATTAAGAGACCGTTGATGTCTGCAACCCCAACCATACTCTCTCATCCGCTGCATCCTAATGATTTGTTCCTCATTTTTGCGTCTGATGGTCTGTGGGAACATTTGAGTAACGAAAGAGCAGTTGAGATTGTTCATAACCATCCCCGCGCTGTAAGTTTTGTTGACTTGCTGTGTGACTGTGACTGTGAGATTTCTTGACTGTCCTCTTCATTGTCTTCAGGGAAGTGCAAAGAGATTGATAAAGGCGGCACTTCAGGAGGCAGCGAGGAAAAGAGAGATGAGATATTCAGATTTAAAGAAGATTGACAAGAAAGTGAGACGCCATTTTCATGATGACATCACGGTTATAGTAGTGTTCTTGAACCATGACCTCATCTCCAGAGGTCAAACCAACTCAACCCAAGACTCACCCCTCTCTGTCAGGAGTGCTCTTGAACACTAAAAACATGATAAAACATTTTTACAGTGTTTCTTTCATCTTCTACTTGGTTATATGAGTGTTGCCTAAGAGGTAATGAAAAGCTAGGCAACATCTGAAGAAACAAAAAAAAGATAAAAACGAAAATGAGTTGTGTTGTATTAAGCGGCTGTGTTTGACATGTTTCTCTTCTGATTACTATTCTTGTGCTCGGCATTTACTGTCGTGTGCTGTTTCCTCAAAAGACTTCTTGCCGTTTTTCTTGTTATGTATGTTTATCCCTTTTGACAGGCGTGTGACAATAAGTCTGTAACATAGATGTACTGTTATAACCATAACATGTGTAACTTTATATTATTTTTTTATCATCATGAAAAGAGGTGATGCTTTCGATGATTGGCCCAGTGAAAAACATTTTGACTCTTATCAATTTCTATCACATGCTTAAAAATATTTTCCATATACGTAACTCAAAATTTGAGCCAATAGGCTATTGTAAAAGCCAAATCTTATTGACTTGATTTGAATTACAAGTAATCTCGTGCGTAATCTTATTTACATGCGTTCCCTTTTGTCGGAATCGTACAAACATTATTACTGTGAAGGATCAAAGTCGAACAAAAATCCACAAAACATGCTCTATGATTATAAAAGTTCTTTTAACTGGAGGCAAATTTTATCGGATTTTTAACAACGTTTTATAACTCCGAACAATATTGACTACTTGTATACACTTGTTAATTAACCAGGAAGTTGCAAATGTTATAGTATATGCACAAAGCGCTATTAGAGTTAGTTCCCTTGATTGTGAAGGAGGTCTTGTACGAAATTGAGCTGTGAGAGATATTACTTGATGCTATATCATTCAGAACTTTAAACTAACCACTTATGTGTTACCTACTAATTATGAAAGCTTACAACCTTCTTGAAATGTTTTGAACTCTTTGAGGTGTTATATATTTATGCACGAGTTGTTTCTGCTACAAATAAAAAGTGATACATCAGATTTGAGTAATGTTTATTGCCCCCAAACTAAAAGAGAATGCGTTGTCAACAATATTTAGGCGGCCAATTAAATCTACTATGAAAATACAGTGGATTGGCTAAAAGAAAACATGTAAATTATGAACAGAGAAAGTCTTAAGAAACAAAAAATTATGAAAAGAGAAAGTCAGATTAAGCTTTCTAGGCAGCATTATCCATCAAAAAGAAGTTGAATGTCAATCAACTTCTCAGAGCCCAGTGCATATTCATCATTTTTTCTATATCACAATTAAATTTTAAAAACACATACAAATTTTTAAAAAAGGATCCTCAGTGTAATAATGCTTATAGCGTTTCATCAATAAAATAAATCAGGTCTCAAAGATTTCATGCCATCATTGAATCCTTTTAACAATTCCAAACAAAAAAAAAAAATTAAAAGGTAAATGAATATAAGCTAAAATTTTGAAAAAAACATGCGGCAAAAAAAACGAATTCTACAGAAAGCGGCTCAACTCCCCTGCTATAAATTTATCGCCTCTCAATATCAACATCGATAGATATATCAAGAAAATTCTACAGAAAAGTCAATCTGAGAGGCGAATCCAATCTCAGGTAAACAAAAATCTACGATAAAGCATAGACACGAGAATAATTAAGAGAAATCATACACGAGACGGAGAGGTCGAATGGATCGCCGGAATTATTTCATATATATACACGGGGATGTTCGGAAGTAGGGTTTTTTGGACCTAAGCTTATAGGTAAATAGGCCTTATCATGCGTTATAGCACTCTCAAAAAGGCCCATATTGACTCAAAAAGGCCCATAATCTTGTTCTTAATTTATACTTTAATATTTTTTTTGTTTTTTTTTTTGTTTTTTTTTTATATTTTTAAACGACTCTTATATCTCTTATTTAAAAGACAGTTCTTAATTATTTTAATTAAAACTAAAAAAAACTAAGAACTGAGATAAAAATTTCAGTTAATAAACTGAAGTTAGTCATGGTCTGTCTCTATCCCAACTTCAAATCATTTGGATACATCTACTTAATTGGAACATTTTATCTCCTCTTTGCTGTAGATCTGATCTTTCCACAGACTATCTATCGGTCCAACCTCACAAATCACTACAAGAAAACACGTCCTTTACTAGGACGGGTTTACCTCGTTATTTCCTAGTAAATGGCCCTTTACTAGGAAATAGCGAGGAAACGTGTTTCGTCGAAAGACGTTCATCGTAAAGGCTATTTTCCTCGTAAAAGCCTAGCTACTTTACGAGGAAAGGTTTCCTCGTAAAGCCGTGGAAAAGTTTTCCTCGTAAGCTCCACGTACACTTTCCTCGTAAGAGCATAGTAAACAGTT